ATTCATGATTTTATTTAATTTAAATTGCCTGTTGTATTGGAATGTAAGCAACATCTTGAGAGTGCAGCTGCACTAGGGCAAGCACAGTTGTTTGATACACAATCAAACATGTGAGTCTTCCTGTTGGGATATGAAATTCAACATTGTCTTATGCCTTTTTTTTTATTTTGAGCATTTTACATTTTCTTCTTCTATCAAAAGATCAATTAATTTTACATACATGAAATTGCAAGAAAATATTTTCATAAAAAAAATATATACTAATTAAATGATAGATATTTAGTCCAAACAGTAATGTATTTCTCAAACCTAACAAAAAAAAGAGAAAAAAAAAAACATGTTAACATAATTTCCTTCTGCATCGCCTTATATGAGTCTATAAGAGGTATATTTGAGTATAAATCGCAATTTATTGGAAGGGGGTGGTCGACGATTTTTCCGACCAAATTTAGATTATAAATGTAGCCATGCACTTGCTAGAAAATGTACATGACTGTATATTTCTAAATAATTTTGAACATTCGCTGAAATTCCTCTCATTTATATGCAACACCGATAGCTAAAATGTTCTGGTGATAATTTTTCATAATAAATTCATTTCGTATTTACGAGTGTTACAAATTGAAGATTGGCTGTTAGTGTCTGTGCTCTAATTTTAGAACAGTATTTTTTAAAGCGACGTTTACACAATTCTTTACTTTTTTATAATATGCTTCTAACGACGAAACAAAACGTGTTTAGAGGGGAAAAATATCCATGGCACTGTTTTGAAAATTTAAAAGGAATACTGAAAATAATTGCCCGTAATTTTTCTGCCGTATCTATGATTGATAATTTAGCAGACCAAGAAAGAAAAAAAACGGTATATTAACCTCGAGTAGTAATAAATCCTTATGAAGGTATACAAAGTTGTTTTATTCTGTTTTTAGGTAGTCCCCAAGTTGCTTAGCAGTCAAAACGACAACACGTGCACATCTTTACATAGACTTTTTTCCCCCTAGTTTCCTAATACAAGAATTACACTATTTGCTAGATATTTTTATCGGCGCTTTTGCAGTCCATTGTTACAAAAGTTCAATTCAGTTTCTTTTTTGCATTTACCTCAATATTTTGAGCACTGTTTACACAATTTTAAAGCACAATATTCTGAGAAATTAGTTTTCCTATTTGATTCCTTGAAAACACAACCACCAGGTGTCCTACATGTACCCACAGCCGCAAATTGCTTTTCATTGTGAATTATTTACATCATTTACAAGTATTTAGTACAACACGAAGTGCAGACAGTCTTGGAAAGCATTCCAGTCTGTTATTAATTGATACTGAGATGCGAAAATCAACTTCATCTATAGCTCTCTGCATGATGTAAGGGTGATAACAGGAAGAGTTTTTTTTAGTTACATTGTCTGAAATTAGGGCATAGGCGTAGAAAAAGAAATTAATTTAAATGAATATACGTTTTATTGAACGTACAATTTTATAATTGCGAAATTTTCTACTAAATAATTCAATTCCAGTACGAAGATTGAAATACTTATCAAAATCTCTGAAAGTTAAAAATTATAAAAGAGTTTTAAAAATATGTACTTATTTGATCACTATATTAAATGTACATGGCATATAATACTCCCTATAACTAAAAATTTGCGCCATGAATGTAGCAATTGTTAGCTACATGGTACACATGTGATGAGTGCCGACAAGATTTAGAATTAACTACAATGTATACATGTAGAGATAAGCATGACAAGAACCGCCCATATCTACTAACAGTGGATTTTTGTACAATCATGAATGTACATGCATATCTTTACCTACTAATTGACTCCTATCATGAGAACTGCACGTAAATCAGTGTTACACTAAAATAGCTAAAAGAGAGTCGGGAATTTCCAGTTGCATATTTTTAGAAAAACCAGTGAAGTTATCTAACTTGCTTAGTGGCGCTGGATCGGGAACGGAAGTAAATTTACGGCGACAGAAAGCGCTTTGCGCTGCGCTTAGCGCTTGAAAAATGTCATATACGAGGGCTGTTCGGAAATTAATGAGACAATTACATTTTCTCAATAAAGGACGAAGATAATTTATTGAAAATTCATCGTTTCATGTAGAACAAATAAAACACTTATGCAAAATTTCTAATTCCTATGATAATTAGATAAGATTCGGTGAAATGAAAAACATGTATATGTCTAAAGACCCGGAGCAGCATCGCTACGTCATTTAACGTTACGTCAGCTGGAGATGGTTTCGCACGTAAAACGATCGGGAAGAGGTTAATACTCTTCCTTCTTTGTTATCAAATAAAACATTACAAAAATCAAACAGTCTCTTTTCTTAAACTATTCTTTAAAAATGTATGCTGTAAATTGTTGTTGCTACCCCGGTGAAATTTTTCATGTGTGGGAAAGGATGACTTAGAATCATCCAGTGCCGATTTATGCAACGCGGGTTTAATACCGTAACGATATCAATATCGTACGTAACTCATTCATCCAAAGATTTTAATTTTACTGTGAAAAATAAAATTGTAAAAAAAATGTCAACCAATTGAATAACAAACTATAGCATAATATTTTTTCTCGTTGTTATTGTTTTAGAAGGTCGTTCATCTGGAAAAGAGTTCTACGTAATGCTATACAAAAATTTAGGTATGCTGGCTGCTCCGCCCGTGGCGTCAAAATCCATTTTGTTGCACTGTAAAAAAATAACTAGTTAATCATGTTAATGTCACGAAGAAAACTAGTAGATTCACTGTCCATACAATCACTACCTTAATAGTAGTTTTACCAGATATTGGTATATTTACTAGATAAGATTAGTAAATTAAGAATTGATGAGTAACTCTCACTAGATATCTAAGTATCTATACGACCCTCGCTCTACAACTCACTATCTTAACCAGTAAACTGAAAGTTTACTAATCGCGACCAACGCTTTACGAAACACACTAGTTAAATTCACTAGGTTTTTCTTTCAGTGCGTTGTTAGCAGATTTCTCTATCGCCCTTATTTTTTTTACGATCTCCGTATATCTGATCAAAATTATATCAAAGTTGCACAACATGAATTTGAAATGAAGCTGAAAAATTATACACTTAAACTGAATTATTTTCGCTTTTCATGGATCAACGTAGAGTTAGAACGTTGGTGTTGCATATATTCAATATCTGATTTCGTGACTGCTCTAGGTACCCCTACTATTGACGCATTTATATACCAATGTAGAGAAAATATTGAATATTTGTAAAATATTTCTTGCTTTTATTAATTCTTAGTATATGCCAAACGTATATGCAAGTTTTCACCGAAAGACGTTTATTAGAAAGCAAACTATACGCAATGTCTCGTATATTATGAAATGTAAATATCTTTTTAATGTTGTATGCGATACATGATTAAGTTGGACTAAAGCATCGATAATAATGCAAAAACATAGTATATATGTGATACATAGTGGTGCAATGGGATAATTTGCATAACGGGCAAAGCCCGTTATGCATAAATTATCCCATGTGTCCCACTATATATTGTTCATGTCCCTTGCATACTATACTAACTAGACAGTAATTCCTTATATTTCCATTTCATCGTGAAAAAAAATTGTGTTACACTTTAAAAATGTGGACATTTAAATAACACGAGGATTCCAATTCCAATTCAATCGTCTTCGCCCACTGACGTCAAACACAACGGCAGCCGCACGAGATTTGCATGCATATTAGGCCTCTTTAGCTCCTGACCTATTGACCTGCCTAATTTACATTCCGGAAGAATTATCAAGAAATTAACTCCGCTAACTTCCAAAGAGTTATCACAGAGAAAAAAAAAAATAGAAATGGAAATAAATTGTTTTAATAGACTCTTAAGCACTTATACTGTTCTTAATTTTTTTCATGTATTTTCATATATATATATGACATATTTTTTCATACGACTCATCTTCAGTCATAATAGTGACTTGAAAAAATTATTTATTCATTGTTTTCTTAAGGATTTTTTATTCTGTTTTTTTTTTAAGTGTTGTATAAAGAAAAAAGTCATTTCAGAAATATATAAATAATATATTTACCTTCATAAACGTGCGTCATAAAGTTTAGGGAAAACCATTTTTAACCTCAATATGTTCTTGATTATTGCATTTTATTGGATTAGGAAAACATTCAATTTTTGAGTTAGCTAGCGTAATGGCTAACGTCAAACCCAACCTTTTCAGATAGGATATAAATATCGTTTATAAACATGACTGGGACACTGTTTATTCATTTTGAAGAACATTCCATATAACTAAAGGTAAAAATGTGCACGCTTATTTTTCAATTCATTTTAGCAGTTTTAATTAGTAGTCATTTCTTTTTTAATATACCTCTATTTTCTCTTACTCAAAGAAGGGTGCAATTAATATCAATTTTGAATATGAAATTGCAAAATACAGTACATGTATTTATCAGCTAAATGTAATCTTAAAAATCATCAAGTAAGTGAATGGACATAGCATATATTATTATTAGCATAAATTATTATTCTTTTTATCTGTAAATTAAAAATATAGCGAGTTTTTCTTTTACAATAATAAACTATAAAATTTACTTATCCATAGACATTTTTAATCTCTTTTTATAAAAAAAAATCCCATCGTAGACAGTGTTCAGTAAACGGCATGCATGGAGATTCAAAAAGTATTATGGCAATCAATATCTCTAAAATATAGGAAGAAACCTTAAGATTGAATTGCATTTAGATATGATATACTTGAAATAAGAAATATAGAAAATATGAAAAAAAATGGATCGACATATATATTTTTCAGCTCGAAACCTTTAATTCATTGAGGTCCCTTTTATAAGAATTCCATTGTGTAAATTTTGTTTAATACAGAATTCTGTTTATTCCTACAAATGTCCTTGGAAGCAGTGTGCCTGGTTTGGAGTTGTCTCACTGTACATGGATTCTTTTTAAAACTCTTTTTTACAGATGAAGTCTTTGTTGATTCCCTGTCTGTTTGTATGTCTTTTATGCATTGATGCCACTTTTGCGCAGTGGAGTGTGTCAGGAGGAGTGAGTGCAGGCAGTAGTGGCTGGAAATTTGAGGCCAAGCTCACCTTTAAATGGGGAGGAAGAAAGCAACGCTCTACAGTAAGAATGAAGAACACTTGTCTGATTAACACATATGCTTCTGAAAGCAATTTCTTTAAAAAAAATCTCTTGGCTTAGTACCTTTTGAACCAAACCCAATCTTAATATAAACGTGTTTTGATGTTCATTATCAGTTACAAGGTATCTTTTACAAACTAAGTATCTTTTATTAACTAAGGGAAAAGACAAAAAACACCTTTCAGTATTTTTATGTACATGTAATTATAGCACTGTCAATATAGTTTTGTAGTAAGAGCAATAAATCTGACTTTAGACTGAAGACAAAATTAAATCTTCAATTTACATGTAGCTTTACATGTACATGTATGATAAAATCAAACAAAATTATCGTCAATATAACCAGTATAAGTCAAATAATCACTCAAATGACATACCGTCATCAAGAGATATTTTTCTGGAGGCTAAAATTTAGTATTTTATTTGCATTTCCGACGATTATCAAAGAAAATGTCTGGATGTAATATATGATAATTTATGTATTCTTAGATTATACATATAAAGTACAAGATTTTACCTATTTTAAACATTTTATTTGTAATTTTAGTGAACATTGCCGTTTTACAAGTAATTTATGATTAAATATTAGTGTCATTTCGAAAAATATAAATTAAAACCAGGTTAAAACATCAACTGATTTACTTGAAATTGGCATCCGATTTTGACAAAAAATGTACCGACTTATAAGCGGGTCAACAGCAAATCCCACCAAAGCAACGTCAAAAAATACAACCGACTTATAGGCGAGTATATACGGTACACATTTACCTGAATAATCAAACAAAATTATCATCAATATAGCCAGTATATATAAATTAATTACTCACATGACATTCAAATTAACTTGACTTAATGAAAGATTAAATAGCTTATCAATAATTTGATTACTTTGAATAGGTTTCCTAGTGGCAAATATTACGTTGTTCACTTGACACATATTATCTGATCTATTTCTTAAGAAAGAATGTTTTTTAAGATAATGAAAATGCTATAGGGCAATATAAGTTTTTAATTTATAAGTTGAAAAATGTACATATTTCCACGGAGGCAATTTTCATCGATTCTTTTTTTCAAATATTGAATCCCGAATATATATCAATATTTTTCTGTCGTAAATTTTAAAATATCATTTTCAATTCTTTATTCCATAAGAAACTACAAATCTTTGATGTTGTGATGTTTATGGTTAACAACAAAAGTGAAAGTAGCGTCAGACTTAACCCTTGTGACTATGCCCTCTATGATCAAAATGGCGACTTAGAGGTCACCATGACAGATTTTGACATCATCTTTGATCAAAACGTAGAAAACAAACATCAGCTGATTGAAAGGATGTTTGCTGAACTTGACGAAGATAAAGGTAAAATAATGATTTTAAGTTATAAATATTTATCAAATATTATAGAAAATGATTTTTTAAATTAATTTAGATTTAAACATTTATATATTAAGATGATATTGTTCCCAGAACAAGTTTAACTTCAGGGTAGCTTAGATACGACGAAACTAAGAATTAATGCATTCCAAGTGGCATACAATTTAAAAAAGGGGGAAACATAATGTTAAGAAAGATACTAGTAGCTTGATTGTTTCCTTGAAATGTTGTTCTTTTTTACTTGAGAGACACAAATGTATTCTTGTGATAGATGGTGCACATTTTTCTCAGCTGAGAATTATAAAACTTTTTAATCATTGTTTTATAGTTGAACTCCTTTGTACTTTTATATATAACATGCAAATAAGACGTGCTCTTTTATAGTCAAACGTCTCAGTGAGTTGATTCATATTAAACAATATTTATTCGAAGCGTCCAATTTTCTTTATTTTTCAGATAATAAAATTTCCCTCATGGAGTTTGAAAACAGAAAGCATAAAGTAATTTCCCCGCAGAGCTGTCAAGTCTGAAGAACACATGGTAAAATTTATACATTTTAATCAGTAGTCTACAACCATAACTTTCAAACAGTTTCCTTCTGTCAAACCCTCAAATCACAGACAAATTGAGTCAACTCTATATCATAACATACAATATGAGTGGAATTTAGCGAGACGCAAATTTTGGATTTATCCGATAATTTCATATAAAAATTTTAGCAAGAAATAATTTCATCGAATTTTTTTCTAATTATCCGCGATTTGGAACGAATAGTAATCAAGAAACTTTCAATGTTAGCGGATTTAACCTCTTGCTTATGATGTCAATATAAAAGCCTCGCAAAGCTTTCTCTTTTTGTGGTAGTTTATTAAGATAACATAAATATATCAAATACCTTATATATATATTGATTTTTTTTCTTGCAGAAATCCAGCAATTCTTATTAAACCGTCCCATTTCCTTCCATGAAGCAACTAGATAATCAATATATATGCCATTACATTAAATAAGGAACAGGATTTTAAAAGAACCTAAATGAATGTAATGCATCTGTTTATTATTATTTTGTTCAATAAACGGCTGATTTAAAATCACATTGAACTTTGTTATTTTTATTTAGTTACTCACGCATCGCAGGGGGTAATATGGAAGCATTCAGAATTTTCTAAGTGGACTAAATCAGTGATACATTATGACGTCAAAGTAGGCAAGATGACGTCAATTTTAGAAACACACGTTTTTGTGATATAGGTATTTAGAGATGGAGATGTACTTTAACTCCAGAAAATGAATAGAAACATTAAAAAACAGTAACAAAAATAAAATCTTTTTAGTTTGTTATGTTGTATCTGTCATTTGGATTAAAATCGACTACCAATGACGTCATAAATGTACGTCAAGTAACTTGGGAATTTATCATGGTATGAAAAAAGAATTTGGCTAAGACGACATGCACAAAGCCACGTAAAAGAGGGTTTAGAAGCAAATATCGTTAATATGTGAAATTCATACGGAATTCAGTTTATGAAGTTAAAGGTTAAATAATTTAAATTAAGTTTTTTATAACAGGTGAGGAAGTTCATTTTTATCTATTATATTTTCTTTCGAAGACAGTAAGCCATTAACGTATCCCAGTCAGCCTTTCCTCTGTCATTCGTGACAAAAATAATACAAAAGAACAACAGTAAGCTGGATATTTCAAAATATAAGATTTGTACAGATCGAATGTTTGACTTCTGAAATACTTGGGAGGTGCTGCTAGAATCCTGAGGTAAGCATGGTTTCACGAAAAACCTCGGGTTATATGTATAAAATCAAAAACATCGGGTAAGGTTTTCGTGCGAATGTGTGGAATGATTATTTACGTACCGGGCAGTTGGATTCTAGCAGCACTATTTAGGCGTTATAGATGTTTTCAACTATATTATTTACTGAAAGAAATCCGGGATACTGTTGTTCTATTATCCTAATTATTAAGGAACATATCGTTATTAATAGAAGTCACGTTATGACGTGGTGGTGGTACACATCTTTGCCTTAGACACTTTTTTATCTTTATGCAATAATTAATAATAGTTTACGTTTTATCAGCGGCTTTGGTAAATTATTAAACTTAATTTTCTTTAAAAAGTCTAAATTTCCCGAGAAATAATTTGAATGCTTCCTTAACATTCATTGTACCTGCGATTTTATCTACATGTACATATATTGCAGCAACACATTCTATCCATTCTTTCTTTACTTACTCTGACCATGTTGTTCCATTCACTTTTATTTTAATTCTCTTCCCATCTTTATCCATTGTTATTTACCCTTCTCAGGAAGAACCCAGTTTTCATTGTGTTTTATGGAACACACAACTTAAAGGAAACAGAAACATAAGGAGGGTTTGACCAATCAACAGGGGATGCTTATTCTTTCATGGCATCTAATCCTTAATCTAAAATTCTTAAGAGGTCTATGTTTGCTCTACTCCATTTTTATTCTGCTAATAAACCTTAAAGTAAGATTAATGCTCCTTATTTTCATATTTCAATTAATATTCTTAATAAAATGTTTTTTTGAAATAAAGTTTTAAACAAGATAAAACAAACAAAAACAAATTGATGTTTAGAACTGAAACATCTGAAATATTGCTATGTAGTGTAAGGGTTTAATGTAAGAAAACAAAATGGGAAAGCATATGAACAAGATTGTTCAAATTGAACTTATCAGTTTAGAAAATCAACACATTTGGATGGTAGGTTAACTTAATAAATGCAATAAATATATTGTGCATAAGATACCTCCAATGATAGTTAAATAGTTTATAATTTTTGCTGGAAAAAGTTCAAAATATTTTCCAACATATTTAAAATAAAATGACGACAAGGAGAAAAATATACTTTTAAGAATTTAGATAAGAATATGCCTTTAAGGTACAAAACGAAACTGCAGGTAACAGGAACTTAATTAATGATTTGTTATACCTAGGTCTGTACCTTAAGGATGGATTTTTGTCTGGTTTCTGACTACATGGAATATTCAGAGTATATATGCTTATTTATTTTATATAATTTCATGCAAGAGAATTAAAAAATGAAATTATTCTTTCCTCGTCACATTTGTACAATTTTAAGTAGAAATGGTAAACTGAGTATGAAATCTAGCAAGGACTATATTTTTTTGCGGAATGGCGGCGGATGAAAACATCTTCTACGATGGTCATTTAAAAAATACGTAGACAATGTCCTCCATCATCATATTATTTTTACAAAATTTTAGATCAAAGCATTTTTATATGTAAAAACATTTATTTTGTCAGTGTGTTAAGTTTCATTCCATTTGATTGAACGGAACTCCAGTTAAACAAAAAAGCAAGATGTTTTGTTACCACGGAGCACGTCAAAACAACGTCGAGAGAGTTTCTCAAAATTACTCTATCTTTTCATTTCATACACCTTTTGTAGCTTCTTCCCAATTCATAAAATCGTATCCATAGCCCTTGACACTTAGTTCGTAGCAATTGTTTGAGTACCTTAAGATAGTTTGTCTATGGTTTCAAATCCTTTATCGCGTAACTCTTGTTTGCACAAGTTCCACAAAAGTGAATCGCATATCACGTTTCATGTCTTTACTAACTCTTTGACAAGATTTTAAACTATAATTTATTTCTTTGGAGACCGTTTATGGTCCGATCCAGTCTCTAAAACTCCAAAAAGATTCATTTCCATTAATGCATAGCACATTTTGTATCTATTTCCTGGTTCATCAACCATTCTCAGAGTTTGTTTTGTAGGTTTCCCGAATGTAAAACAAAATTTCATCGCTACTTGTTGCTCCGTGACGTCCTTTGACGTCATCGTTTTTTGCTATTTTTCATGAAGTCCATCTGCCTTTAGAAATTAATAAATTATCTTTTAAATGAAGCCATGTATTACAATAAGTTTTAGCCTCTAGAAGTAATAGATTAATACTTGATTTAAACATTTCAATTTTGTTTCGTTTAAGCGCCATTTATTAGAGGTACGACTATAGACATTATAAAATGTATAGTTAGTAGATAACTCAATTTTGACCCAATTTTCGCTGTCTTAAATCTCTGATAATTTTGATAATCATCAAGATATTTTCCAATTTGTTTGCTCAAATTATTTGAATTTATTGTTAAAATATATGTACTAAATTTGGTTATAATATGACTTTAAAAAATTATAACAAAAGTCTACGACCTTTTTGAATGACCCTCGTATACTGCTTCTCAAAATAACTATAGAACTATAAATGTAGATCAAATCACACTTTTTACAAAATCAAAGTCAGAGATATTTGTAAATGTTAGAAATCAAAATTTCATTTAAAGGGTTTTTTTTCTCTCTCAGTAAATACACAGTAAACATTTATTGATATAGTAACATTTTGTATCTTGTTATTACAACTTTGCCATATATGAAAATAAGAAAAAAAAATAAATATACAAAGCATGTAAAATTAACTTAATATATATTCTGAAAAATGAAAAAATAGACAAATTTCGAATTAGCCACTGTCCATTTTACTGAAATTATTTATGTCACTTTTTGGTATAATCTTTTAGACATTGTATGGTAATATTTCTTAATCGAAAAAGAAAATGACATTTCTTATATATTAATAACAAGAGAAACTAGTTCCTTAGTATTTTTAGAAACAATTTTCAGCTTAATTGATCCTTCTCGCCAAGATTTGAAATTTAAAACGAATTTTTAATAACTCCACTTCCATTTGGTCTTCGAATCTTCGTTCATTCCTAGCACAAAACGTTTCACCTTTCACACATTGTTATTTCTTTTTATACGATATCCAAACTTGACATCAGCCGAGAATCAAGTCTTCCTTTCATATTAAGTATGTGTAGAGAATATCATTTAAAAAAAAATCCCAACTAAAAGTTATAAAGTACGAAAATGTTTGCTGGATTGTTTCATATAACAATTAAAAACAATATAAACAGTCTTGTTTATAGAATCATTTATTAATGTATACTTTTGGGTTTCATACACGTAACCACATGTCAGCGGAACATGTTATATTAACTCCTACAGCACGTATTTGTATACAAATAATAATAATGAATTTTACCGATAGTAAATATGGATTCTTCAGGTAAAACATTATCTACCTGTCTGATATTACATGTAGGTCTGTAGATTTAAGATTTTTAGCTACGTAATTAGATGACTTTTTTGGCATATTTGAAGCGGTATCTAAACCAATACTGTATTTTCCTTAATATACGCGTGGAATTAATTATCGCGTAATTTCGCTTGAAGCACCACACGCGAAATAAAATTACCCGCCATTAATTTTATAGTGCTAAAATCTATGTCAAATCTCTTGATCAACCGTCCATTCGCAAATTATTATTCTCGCGATTTAACGTTGAACAGCCAATTCGCGATAAAAAAAGTACTCTCGAAAAAAAAGGAATCTACAGTATTATTTTAATTATGTATATGTTTAAACTTATTAAAATAATGTTTTAGCTATATATCATATCTCCGTATGTCATATACTATTCTCAAAAGGAAATCTTTACTTCTTTTAAATTCAAAATTTTACAAAAGTTTTCGCCCTTTCTCTTTTGAAGATAGCATTTGCCTTTGAGGCATTCTACTTTAAACCTGGTCGCAAACTTGTGGGGCAAAGGTGAATTTCCACTATGAGCAACCAATTTCAATTTTGTCAAATTTGTCTTGCGAAAATATTCGGGAAAAATCTTAACAAAATTGAAAATAGAAATAATGAAAATGATTTCAGAAGACAAAAGTGTAGTGTACACATTAGCGCCATGCATATAAGGTTTAACATGATTGAAAAGTGAAGGAATCTTGGCATGATGGTCAATAATATTGAGGCAATGTGGAAAAAACTCTTGGTGACATCACTTTGATAAAAAGTTATCTATATTGCAACTAAGTACATATATTTGGAGAAAAAAAAATCACACATTCCTCTGTTTTGCCTTTATAAAGAATACAAATTAAAATATTAAATTTTTATTCTGTTTAAATACTTAATATTGTCTTGTATGTTGTATAAAATTAATTTAAACTAAAATATTGATAAAACTAATGACACATATTGTAAATGTGGTTTGTCACTATAAATATCACTGAAACGATAATTTCATATAGTATCATAATATTGTTTTACTTTTTTTCTTCCGAATATTAATTTATGTATTATGTATTTGTGCATCCTTATAAACAATATATTTTTTTTAAATCTTTGTATGAAATATATGAAGATAACAATTAGTATTTAAGGTCAGAAGTCCAGAAAAAATACATATCAGGAGCAGAGAAAAAACGTATTCTTAAAACATCAAAAGTGGAATCCGGTGTCATGGAGGAGGAAGCATTCCCTGCCGACCAGTAGCACTTGCCGCGTGTTCCTTGTGTTAATCAGGAAATAACGGGAAAATCTGTCGATAATTTATTGTGTAGATAATGACCTAATAATTAATACGTATTTACTGACAAGGTAATTTTATCGACCATAGAACTAACAAAATTATGAATTTAAAAGAGACTGCTGACATTCTTGTTTCATCAACTTTTCTGTCAATAAGTTACTTGTTTTAAACACGTATAAAATGAAATACAGGAAGATTATCAATCTTTGAAATCCATATGAAAGAAAAAGTCACTTAATGAAGCACCTTATCCTTTATACAAACAAAATCATCGATATGAAAATACTGTACGCATATTTTTAAGGAAAATCCTATGGAAATTCCCATTTTTAAAGGTAACGTCATTTTGTGTTTGGAAAATACAATTTTTTAAATCAACATATTAATGCACATTGCATGTTATTTTTAATGCTAACATTCAATTTTTCGGCATGCTGGAGTGGTATCCAGCGTCAAACTCGACCTTTCTAGACAATATATAAATATCGTTCTTAAAGATGACAGCAGGAATATTGTGTATTCAATTTAAAGAATATTCCATATGAGGTAAGAATGCGCATATTTACTTTTCACTTCAAATGAACAAACATTTTAATGAATACCGGTATGCAGTCAGATTTATATTCATTCAATTTTAATTTCTTTTAGATAATTTATTCCCGAACTTTTACTTGACTTTCTTTTTCAATATTTAATTAAGAATATACTACAAAAATACGAAGAATGTTTTCATTATGTCTTTAAACGACATTTTCTGATATTTTTGACAAAATTGAAATTGAAATAATTATATAACAACCATTACTTCTTATGAGCCAATATTCGATGAATCGATGATTTTATGTCATAGAAAAGTAAAGAAATATCGATTATTTAAAAAATATACTAGCTTATTTTTATGGTGCTTTTTACAGATGAAATCTCAATTGATCCCATGTCTGTTCGTTTGTCTTCTGGTCATTGATGTCACACTTGGGCGATGGGAGATTTCGGGAGGAGTGAGTGCAGGCAATACTGGATGGAAAGCGGAGGTCAAGGTCACATTCAAATGGGGAAAACGAAAGAAACGCGCCACAGTAAGAACTAAATGACACTATTTTTTCTGATATAACACAATTTCTTGGAGTTTGATTAGATTTGAAACCTAGTTTTAAGGCGACCTTCAGGTATGTGAAGTGCCTTTTTATGTACACTTCTACATCCTCATCTACAATTTATCTTTTGAGTCTTTTGAGTTTGCTAATAGAGAACAAAAAAGTTGACTTTTTGTATTTTTATGTTTTAAGAGCAATATATCCGTCCAAAAAAATTCTACAATGTACAAGCAGTTTTACATGAATATACTACAAATATACAAAGAATGTTTTCATTATGTCTTTAGACGACGTTTCTGATATATATGATAAAATTTCATTTTGTAATAAAATAAAATATTAATAAAATCAAAATAATAATGAGTAATTAATAACTTGCTCCATAGAAAACGTTTTTCAAACTAAATGTAAGAGCAGGGATTCCACTCCCTTTAGTATACTTCGCTATTAACCCCCCCCCCCCACTTGAAAAGCGGAAGGGTATATGGTGATCAGAATGACCGTCCTTCTGTACGTTCGTCTGTTAAGCTTTGAGGTACAATGTACCATCTCTTATCCGCAATTTCTCTAATACCACAAAATGAAATTTAATGAGACTTTCATAGAATCTTTGTTATATAATGTAAATGTGACTCCTTGTCAACTTCTGGATCGGACACATATTTCGGGTTTACAAGAGCAAAACACTATATATTTTTGTCATATAATTAAGTGATTTTTTGATATTCTTATTTTCGTAGAAATTACAAATCTTTGACGTAGTAATGTTTATGGTAAACACGAAAAGTGAAAGTAGCGTAAGAGTAAATCCTTGTGACTACGCCCTCTATGATCAAGATGGCGACTTGGAGGTCACCATGACAGATTTTGACATCATCTTTGACCACAACGTAGCAAACAAGCATCAGCTAGTTGAAAGGATGTTTGCTGAACTTGACGACGACAAAGGTAAATAAATAATATTTTATTTTATCAAATTCAATTTTAATATTCAAATAATCAAGATTAAAATAAATTGTTTTTGTTCAAAAGATTATATTCCAATATCAATGCTAACGCAAGGTTAGCTAGGATACTTGTCGTGGGAAATTACATTTTACATGCAATCTCTGGAAGAATTAAAAGTTGCAGATAATTTAAGAAAATGTCCTCAATATGAAATTTTCTTTGCAATTTTCATTACAGTATCATTTTTTAACATTGTGTCAGAGTTAAACTTTTCTGTACTGTTACATTGCATGCAAATACGACAATGTATCAGTTGTCGTATAGTCAACCTTCTCAACCAATTGTTTCATACTCAACAAAACGAATTCATGAAATTGTCAAATTGTCTTTATTTTGTCTTTATTTTTTTAGATAATAAAATATCACTCATGGAATTTGAAAACAAAAAGCATGAAATTATTTCCCCTCAGAGCTGTAAAATCTAAGGAACTCAAGGTAAATATATCGTATATTTCATGAAGTAGCCCACATGTAATATAATAACATGATAAGTTTTCTTATCTAAGATATGTAACACCAATATTATGGATTATGTTCTTTTTTTATTATACAGTTTTTTCCTTGCAAAATTCCAACAGATCTAACAAAATCAAACCAAATGAAGAATCCACATCAATACCGTTAGATGTATCAAGGTTTTAGAAAGAACCTCAGTTATTGTAATATAATACACCTGCATTTTATTAATTTATTTAATAAACGGCATTTTAAGTCATAATGTTCTTTGTTATATGTAAGTGTTTGCTTTGTTATGCCTTTTACATGTATGCACATAAGGCAGCAACAAAAATTCTCAATAAAGCCCTTTCTCTGGTAACTTATAAATAGCACGGAGCAAGGAATAACATCAGGAAAGATATAACTTTCCCCTCGATTGTAAATTTTAGAAGAACCTTCACTGCACTTCGACCTACATGTAATTTCAGGGTACCTTGTTTAGTAAGACTGACCCACTATTTTAGAAGAAAAGAAGAATATAAATTGTCATCTGTATAATGTAAAATAAATCCAAGTACTTCAGACATTATATAAGACTACGATAAAGTAGATGTAAACTTCATTTGCATGTATTTTTCCATTTGAGTACGCAAAAGCGATTTTACTATTCATTGCATCATTGTCTCTGATTCTTTTCCTCTATGAAAAAGGTTCCCTTTCTTTACTAAAAATTAATATTCAATTTAGTTATTTCAAAACATGCTCCTTTACTCTAAATAATTTCTCAAGTCTAATATTTTTTTTTTATCAGTGTATCGAGGGTTCTAGAAAGAAATAATAAGGACATAATTAAAGAATTGAATTTCCTTAAAAGGAATTCTCTCATTTCGAAAGTTACATTTACAATATTCATAGAGATGCATTGAAAAGCTTTTTAATACAATAAATCTTATCGAAGAAATATGTGTTGCAAAAATATCACAGTGACTATAATGGCATTTATCAAATAGAATGCATAAAACAAATTGCTTAAAAGTCCAACACAATGAATCAGTAGCTATATTTGTATTTTATGATCAGGTAAAAAGCTCTATTACCTTGGTTTATTGCTCTATAATTATTTATTTAAGAAACAAAATATTTGAACAACACTCAAGTTTTGATAAAGGAAATAAAATGAACTGATTTATTTGATATTTAAAAAAATATAAAACAACCAACATTTCCATATTCTTTACTTAAGCGGTTCTTAAGCGGATTAATCTTACCTTTTACACGTATTCGAAAGATGCTGAAAATTCTGTGTGCTCTTTGTTTTGCCGGAGTATATTCTCAGTATCTTGTAAATAAAAACAAACATTGTGACGAACGTGTTTCAGATGTATTCAGTAAATTGAAGTTCTTAGAAACAAAAATAGATCTATACAGAGAAGAAAATATGGAATTAAAAGCTGAAATAGAGAAACTCTCAACTTACTTGAACAAAACTAAAGGTACTTGTATTGTGTCTATTCTCTTCTTTTCATTTTTTGTTTTTTGTTTTGCTACTTCACCAAAGTATCAAATGGAAGATAAATACTAGTAGATGATATGTTCTGTACACTAGGAAACAAAACCTTTTCAACTGAAAACGATTGAATTCTATTTTTACTTCATTTTGATTTTTTTCTTATGGCGTTTTATCGATTACACAATTATAAAAAAAGATTAAAAGATGAAAAAATATCCTAAAATTTAGATGATGCTCCATTTGACTGTTGGGACTTATCACAAAGGGGTTTCAACAGATCTGGAATTTATCCAATTTACCCCTGGGGCTCGAAAGAAAAGAGTGTGTATGTTCATTGTAATATGGAGGTGGCTCCTCCAGGATGGACGGTGAGTATTATCTCCCTTTATGTCTACGTAGCTTGGCTGATATTTAATGATTATTTGTTTTCCTAGTCTTTATCCATCTGTCCTTCGAGGTACACTTATATTGGAGAAATAAAACGTTTATAATAATAAAAGTTTAAAAAAATTATGAAAAGTGGTTCGGAAAAAAAAATATTTTAGAGATATTGCAAGGATTAAGATTACCGCATCGTTTTTTTTTTAAATAAAAATGGTGTTCATTGCTGTGACGTTTTTTACTCTAAGAGAATTGATATATACCACTCATTACCGTGACATTTGAAATAAAAAAAAAAAAAACTTAAAGGTTTTTACATGTACATTTAACTTAATTTGTCTCACATACAGTGCATAATTTTATAATACAAAACCTATCCTGATTCTTTCATGTCCCTTTTTGGTATCAGCACATTTTCAAATCAAATGTGTTTATTCGTCTATGTTTCAGATGGTTCAACACAGAAAAACTCTGACAGTTAATTTCACAAGAGGTTGGAAAGATTACAAAAACGGTTTTGGGACAAATGCAGAGTTCTGGTTAGGTATGTCAGTTACTTGAAGTGAAAGTCGCCCGAGTCAGTGGTTAGAGCGTCTGCTCTAGAGTCGCAAAGTAAAGAATTGTTCCTTATGTCGCGGTTCGAATCTGTAATGAGTTCTTTTGGATTTTGTGTTAGTCCCAAAGAAAACGAAACACTGTAGAATCAATTAAACAAAAATAAATATATTTTACAGATCAAAGAAATGAATAAACAAAAAAAAAAAAAAACACAAAAACCTTACATACACCACACTCGCGAACACTCACACAGAGAAAGAAAAAAATATAACTTTACAAAGAATGAACTGACACGCCTACAAACAATGAACTTAAAGCTGCGTGTCAAAAATAAATATATGAACAAAACTTGTTTAATGAAAACAGTAACTTTTGTATTAAACAATGATTAACTTCAAGTTGTTTTATAAAAAGTTCAAATTAGAATTTATACTTTCAATACTGTTCACTGTAATATAACTTTAGAATTATTTTATTTATAAACCAAATTGGGAGTTTGTCTGAAAATCGTTCCTATTTCAACACAAATATCGGCACCACTTGGCGTCCATACACCGCTTGGTCTACACCACGTTCACTGACCGTCTAGACCGCCGGACTCACAGGTCTTCCTCTTAAAACGTGTCAACAGTCCTCTATCCCTCCGTTAGACGGACGCTATAGTGTTCCCATAGATCTGTGAGGACGTAGTACACGTACATGCAATAATTAGTAGTATGATCCGGTCCTAGACACAAACTGACCACTCTACATCTGCCGTCCTAAGCCCTTACTCTATGACCTACGCACTAAAATAAATTTAACGACTTTTCCTAGAATACTATCAAATAACAGAATATAAACACCTACATAACACAAAACAAGTATACAGACAAAAAGTAACAAACTCCTATAAATAGTAACGAAAACAAGCTTACCGGCTGGAGAAAACAGAAATGACCACACACAGAAATTCACCGTTCCCTGGCTACCGGTCCCAGACTTATTTCTAGAATTCACCATATTTAAGAACGTCCATGGTGACCAAAACTGTAGATATTGCGTAGCACAATACCCTTTTCACTGCCACGCGTCGTTTCCTTCTGGCCAACCAGTTTTCTAAATTTAGCTTATATACACACCCTCAAAAGTACGGAAACGCATAACCACCAAAACTCACAAGGAAAACCCTAAATCAAACATAGTATTAATTTTAAAAAGTCAACTTCATCACAGAATCCCACTGTGGGAGGTGGAGACCGGTCCTTCGGATGAGACCGTATATACCGAGGAACCGTGTCGCAGTAGGTGTTGGCACAAAAAAGATCCCTCACTGACCGTAAGTGCCGGGTATAAACAACATTTGAAGATGGTACAGTTTGTGCTTTATTGCGCCCTAAAATTTAATGTTCTTAAAAAGTTGTGAAATTGGCTATAACAAAAGTTGAGTAGATGGATATGATACATCATTAAAGAATATAACATGAAGGAGAATCGTTCTGAAAATATGACGTCATTAATTTGGTACATTTCTAAGTGTAATGCGAAAAAAAAAATTAAGAATGACTCATTTCTGTGCATATTTTCCTTTAGAAAATTGTGTCTGCCACCGTCGCCCACTTCGATTTTTGGATATGTTATGAAAACTGCTTTGAAAAATCACATATCTTAAAATCTTTGTGGGTGACGGTGACAGAGTATTTTTCTGAAAGAAAATTCCACTGAAAATTGATGTCTTCTGCAATTTTTAAAGAAAATACAGGAAAATGCACAAGAGGTCATTTGAAGAAAAAAAATAATTTCTGTATTCTTACTGCATGGAATTCCAAGGAATCAGAAAGAATAAGTTTTAATTTCTTATATCACTTTCATATTTTAGAAAAAAAGGCTTCTTTAAATTGAAACTGTACCTCGCAAGTGGGTGCGTCTTCATATGAGTGAAAAATTCTCTAGACGGACGTTAAACAACAATCAAATAAACAAACTTGAAGTTAAATGAATTATTTTCACAGTCTAAGACCAAAAAAGTCTACTTTTCAAAAACGGAAAATCTTTTTTAATCTAAGAATTGTTATAGATTATAAAACATGATTGATAATGAAATGCTGCTTAATTTTATTGAAAATAAAATCAGAAAGCAAAAACACTTGTCATCAAAGCTTTTGCATATCGGTCAGATCATCCAGATTTTTTTCTGAATAGTTCTTCATATATTTTTACATTTTTTCAATGACATTTGGAGATAACGATGGGTGTTTAAGCTCAAAGGTCCATGCTTACGATACAAAAGCAAACACGAGCCTCCAAAACCTTTGAGGTCTGATCAGGTTTATTGCTAGCGTTCTCGAGCGTTAGCAACTACGTTAGTCCAAATTCCTTGAATACGCATGCTCGGCCGCCATGGCCGTACATTCTGGGAAAACTGTGAAAACTACTACAGATAGACCGTACGATAACAATTTCGTTGTATCATGTTGTAGCATGAAATAACTGTTTATTTATTGTGTAGCTTACACTTTAAAGATAACTTCATATTTATAATATTTCAAATTCTGGGGGGTTTTTCGCTGACGGAAAAGCCCGAGTCATTATCTGATTGTTCTAAACAATGACAAGGGGTTTTGTTTTGTTTTGTTTTTTTTACATCCAAGCACAACCAAAGATAGATTCTAATTTCTGATTGGTCAATTTAGCTTATCTTACAAATTCCAGAAACAGAAGCAAGAATTTACACTAAAAATAACGAATAAATCCACTATTTGTGTTAAAAAAATTCTGACGTGTATGTCTTTTAACCTTAAATCAGTCCATACATGCAATGTCTCAATCGGCATCTTCTTCATATTAAATAGAGCCCCCCCCCCCTCCTCTCCAGTAAAGGTCATATATGTTCCGTTGCTCCAAAACTCCAATAGATCACCCACCCCCTTGTTTCTTTACCTATGTGTCTATAAAATGGATACGCTTCACAAAACAATAATAACTTTATCACTCTCCAGCCTCGATAAAAATTAAAGAATTCAGCAAAATAAATCACTTGATCACGGATCTTCCTTTCTGTGTTTAAAAATTGCTACGGCGCTAGCTCACCTATCTTTTTAAAAGATAAACTTGTACTGTACTTAATATGGTATTCAGACTACTTTTTTTTTTTTTTTTTACAATTTTAATTGAATGTTAGGAAGATACTTCAATTTGTACTTAATACAATCTTGCTAATAGTGACACATAAAGGGAAAATTCATTTAAATAGATAATGATGATAAAAGGACTTAAGAACCAAAAAAAAAAAATGAAATCATTTACTAGATAACCTTAATAATATCTGGGAAAAAAACCTTCTTCCAAATAAGTTTATAAAAGTCTAAGCAAAGCCGCCGGTACATAGGAAAGTAATACATACAGGTACATAAAATAAAAAACTAGAATGAGTCATCCATTTGTATTTTTTCCTCTTATTTCGTTGAAGTATTTTGGATTATTTCTACTGAAAAAGTATAGAATTGTAGATTAGAAATATTTATCCCATATTTACCTCTTTATCCAGTTGATATCACTCATTGGATATTTTTGATACACCACAGTTGTGACATCACAAGGGGTTTTATTCGAGAGTGATGAAAAATGAAATGATTCCAATATACATATACATGTAAAACAGCCAAAAACATTGATTGATTGTTATGTCCCATTTGAGAATTTTTCACACGGGGCCATTTAGCAGAGAGGAATCATTATCGAGCCAACGCCTACCGCAACACGGGGCCTCGGCTTTTAAGGTCTCATCTGAAAGACCAGCTACTTTCATTATACATGTAGATGCCGAGCACATGGTGAAGGAAAAGTTGCTACCCATTTTTTTTTTTGACTTAGATCAGTTACGGCCAGGACCTACCGAACACGTAAAACATTGATAGTGATTTATGAAACATTGGATAAAAATATCTCACATGATTCATGGTTAGATATTATTTTTATTCAACTCGTTGTGTTTTTCATCCCCGAGTCTTGACGTAAACACAACACTCTTTGGATAAAACTCATATCCAACCATACATCATTGGAGATCCTATATGTATCCTTCCCTATATGTTAATTTGAAATGATTCTGGTTTTTTTTATCGGTTGTGGATCATATTAGTTAACTTCAAAAATTTTCTTTATTGTTTAGGTAATGAAATAGTTCATCTTCTAACAAGCAGACATCACAATCAGCTGTACATTGGGATAATAGATACAAATGGTAGTTATTTGTACCAAAAGTACCATTTTATCAGAGTTGGACCCGAAAGCGATAAGTACAGACTGCATATTGAGGGACCGACCACAGGGGATGCAGGTAACAAAGTGTTTAGGGATGCAGGTAACAAAGTGTTTATAGGAACATTAGAATATTAGAATATAAATCATCTTAATATACCTTTCAAGAGAGATCAGGTGCGTGTATTTGGTATCAAATTAAGATTTTTTTCAAATTTCAAATTCAAAGTTGTATATAAATTTGTTGTTCCAGTAATTTTTTTGTATTATTACGTCCATTAATAACAATTTATAACCAAAAAGGCACCGAGACTATTTACAATAGATTTTATGAAAATTTTTAGTTAGAATATACCAGAAAAATCATTCACAACGGAAAATAAGTCGTTAAATGAACACGAAAAATGTATGCAATAAAAAATTAAATTTAGTATGACAGAGACATGCAATTCAGAAAAATCTTGGTCACATTAGTACTCCTCCATTTGAGCTCGACTAATTATTACCTTCATATTTTATGTAAGTTGCTTGACATTGATTTTTAATATCTTTTTAAGGTGACTTTATTCTTCGATACAACAATAGCAAATCAATCAATAATCAACGTTTTACCACGTTTGACAACGATAACGACAATAACGCCGGAAATTGCGCAACCGGAACTGGCGGGTGGTGGTACAATTCGTGTCATTATGTTGCCTTGAATAACGACCCAGATAGTCCGGAAACTGTGTACCAAGACAGGGTCCCAAATATGAGCCACTTCAGATTCTCTAGTATGATGATAAACAGAGCACCATAACATTTCAACCAGTTGCAAGAAAAGTTGTGAATTTTTATTCATTTGCCTGTATCAGGATTAGTAGAATGTTTTTTTTCTTCTAAAGTTTCAATCTTTTTTATCTGCTCTTGAGCGATGTATGAATATGCATATAAGATCATTATGAAAACAAATCATGCACAATGCCGCTAAATCTGCTTTCAGTTACATGTATCTATACCTTACTTTCTTTGAAAATCCTTATGTTGAATGACCATTTATATTTCCTTACACAGTGCCCTCCAGTCACAACCTATAAGAATGCGGACCCAGACGGAAACTGAGTTCGTTTTACTTGTTCATTTGGGACTCGCTCAGGCTGTCTTTTAGCTAATTATAAGCAAACTCACACTGCATCTACAATGTTGGCTGGACCCAACAGATATGGAATTCGAACTCAGATTCCAATAGAGCACTTTGCAATTAAGTAAAGGTCTTTTTGCTTTAGCTCAAAAAGCTTTAAATCAGGAAGGACTTGCTGAGGGTACTGGCTCTCAACCAACGCCGAAGATAGTGAATTTCTTATTTTAAAACTTTCTTTGTTTTTGTTCTTACACGTACGCGCAACTAAACATCAATGAACCATTTAAATCGATATGTATTCTAAATAAACAGGTGAGTGGCTTAGACAATAAGATAAAGCTAGATCAGTTTTGAGCATAAATAAAAAAAAAACGAACGCCGAGTTCAGTTTAGCGGACCCTAAACTACCCTTAAGCTAAATTAGAATGAGGCAAGGGCGCACCTAATTTTTTTTTTACCCAAATCATAACCCCAATGAATGCACAACTAACCTGGGGTCATTATTTGGTTGGCTTTTCAGTGAGGTTGTGTCTGGTCGATACTGTAACATTGTGTTCTTGATGTACATGTATTTGCCGTGCTGGACAATATTTAATGATTACACCGATGAAAAATTGTCGATCACGTGAATTAATGAAATCAAAGCTATGAACAAATGCAAAAATCTTTTCAAAACAATCACGTGTCTGTATGAGTGAAAAAAATCGAATGAGACTTTGAACAACAACTACAATCAATCTATCAATCAAAATAATCGATAAAGAAGTTTGTGTGATTTTGTTATATTTTGTTTTAGACATATGTTCATTGTATTCAAACATCACTAAAATAAAAGCCATATTTGTAATAAATTGTTCGAAATAAAGTTTTTGAAGAACACTATGCATGCATTATTTTTTTTTTTATTTTTTTATATTTCAAATAACGTCATAATTTCAAGCAAAAGCCTCTTTTTTTAAATTATACCGTTTATTCTCTTAATTTCATGCAGGCTCGCCATCATCTCTGCTCATGTTTCTTTTGCTGGGTGTAGCAGAAAATATATGAAGATAACGAGCTCAGAAATCCATTAAACAATACAAATCAGGACCAGAACAAATACGGACCTCTAAAACATGAAGGAGAGAGCTACCCCTGCCGACCAGTCATATCCGCCGTGTGATAGATCAAGTTTGAATATTGTCATGTTTTACTAAAAGGTGCTAGAGTAAATCAGCTTTAAACATTCCTTTGTCTTTATAATCGGGTTAAAGATCGGGTTCATGCTGCAAAATAATGTTCCAAGAACGAGGTTGTAAGGTTAAACTGCATTTCCTCCAGACAATTTCAGTAAAATTATTAGTCTTGGAGATAAACAAAACACTTTAACATGTCTTACTCTGTTCTGCTTACACAAGCAGTTCTGATCAAAACATGTCTAGTGGCAGTCAAGTGATGAACCACGTCTTTGTAAGGCAGACTTCATTTCAAGTCATTTCATTCATAAACGACTACGGAAATGTCCTCGTTTTTTTTAATTTTTTTTTTTTGGGGGGGGGGGGGGGGGGGGGCTTTTCATATACAGGGTCTTATAAAATTAAAACCAAAAAAGAAAAGAGAATACCAGTAGGGGAATTTGCTTATGCAATGCTCTAAGAATGCTTGTTACATTTTAATAAAAATCCAGTGCAGAAAAAAATAAACAACTCTTTATCAGATTTCAATATACCTGGAATTAATGAATTTTTCACTGTGCAATTACTTATTCTTAATGAAAATAGTTTATACGTATTCAGGAATAAAATTATTTTAAGTGAAAGATGTAATAAGTAAGTCGACAAGGGTACAAACTATAAACATATCTTTTCTGATTGAGATGGAAAGAATGATTTATCCTCCTGGTTTATTTAAAATTGATTAAACGAACTGCATATGTAAAACATATATGAGATTTGACCAGGAAATTTTTATTTTTAAAGTTTCAGGCAAGCATTGTTAAACTTGAAAAGACTAATTTTGTAAAATTATTAGACATAAAAGCTTCCTTAAATATCAATTTTTTGTTGTTGTAAATTTCAGACACATTTATTAACTTATAGAGATGTTGATAATTTTCTTTTTGTTTTGCGTTAGAAAAGTATATACCCAGTCTCTGATTTACGAAGAATGTGAGCGATGTGAAGTACGTTTATCAGATATGCTTAAGATGCTAAAATCGCTGCAAAAACAAATAAGCATATATAGGGAGGAACACATGGAATTAAGAGCGGAAATAAGAAGACTATCATCAAGGCTGAACAAAACAGAAGGTATTGTTAATTTTTTTTTTTTTTTACAAACTTATTGATTTATTTTGTCCCGATCAAAATATAGAGACGTCGCCATATAGCGGTAAATAACTAAATTTAATACTTAACTCTGATCTCATCGTTATTGAGCTGATAAATATCTTAATCGCGCAAACGTCTACCGTGATCACAGGCCTTTAGATCGCTTAGAAAAAAAAATTGAGTTGTTGAAAAAAAAATAAAGGTATGGAACTCTTTTCATGGGGTACCTACTTTCGCCAATAAAATTCTTTTAAATCAAATGCTTTACAATTTTACTTTCTATCCATATCTATTCAAATATAAACAATCTTCATTTCTACCAAAGTTCATTCCGTAATTCCTTATACTTCTCGAGATATTCTGAAATCAATTCCCAAATTGACAATAATTTTTTTACTCGACGTCAGCTTGGGCCTTCACTAATTGTAAAGCGGGAACGACGGGACAAATTTTCCCCGGAATTTATTCTAAATTCAATGAATATTTGCTCATTTGCATTCAAGCTTTACAAGGTTTTCTTTAATTTGATCATATGGTGTAACTAAGTCATAAACAACATTTTAGCGGTCTAATTGTTTTGAAAATCGAAACGTATATAATATATTCCGGGAAAAATTCGTTCTACCATGGCTTCATTCACATTTATAATCAACATGGCGGTAGTTGTTGATGTAGACGTTTTCAAATTAATTTTTCGCGAAAGGAATATTATTACGGACTTAACATTACAATCTGGAGTAAGAAATCAACTTTAAATAAATTGTTGAAAGATATTGCGAATACTATGCAACTCTTCGCCGCACTTCAAACACCATCTGTTTACATGTGAATGGCCAGGGGCCCAAGCTAATGTCGAGTAAAAGAAAGTAGGTCATTTTTGAAATTGATTTCAGAATATCTCAAGAAATATCAGGAATTTCGGAATGAGCTTTGGTAGAATTGAAGAATGTTTAACTATGAATAGATTTAAATAAAAAGTAGAATTTTAGAGCATTCGAATAAAAAATATTTTAATAGCGAAATTAGGTACCCAGTGTAAGAGTTCAGTACCTTTATTTTTTTTTACACACACAATTTTTTTAAAGCGATTCAAAGGCCTGTGACCGTGATAAAGGGGTTCTGGTATTGGTGACGATAATGAATTACGATCAATCTCAAAAGTCTACAAAATATATTAAAAAAAAACCTACCCGCGGAAATTTCCGAGGTGGGGTCAAGTACGTAGGATGATTAAGCATTCCAATATTGACATGCACTGATCAGGTTGACTGAACATTTTAAAGTCAATATTGGTATAACAAAAGGGACAACTGAAACATAAGCAAAATATGACCCAATGACAAGTTAGCTGTATTAAGACTCTTTTGAAAGAGAATTTACTTTCAAGTCAAGGTCACCAGCGCCTGGCGAAGGAAAAGTTGTACCCTATTTTTGATCGTCTTAGGTCAATCGCTGTCGAGATTTAAATTCTAGACCTTCCGAGCTCGGAGCAAACGCTCTAAGCCAGAGCTACCGAGATAGATGGTACTGACGTATTTACTTTTTTCTATTTATATATCTCCATTTTCAATTTGCTTTAATGTCATGCAAGAGTCATAATGAAATATAAATGTTCCGCCTTTATATATTATGTAGTTTTTGTTTGCTCCGCTGAGTGGGTTGATTATAGAGGGCATTGTTACAAGTATCATGAGACGAAGATGACCTGGAATGATGCAAAGGTATAAAAAAAGTTTAAATGAAAATTCACAAGTAGTCGATCTTGTAAGTACACATTTTCTGATAAGGGACTATATGCGATATATTGGATAATTTTACCCCCACAAAAGTCACATTTGGAAAATTATTGAATATGATGAATTTTTTTTATATATTGTACGAGAAATCTAAATAAAATTAGATATTTTAGATTCAAAGAAGGGTATTGACAGTTTTTTTGAAAGTTCTCCTGGTAAATCATTTATGTCTCTAAACTGCTTTGAATTAGTTTCAGAGTATTTAATACAGGATGGATATTTAAGGTTACAAAATGATGTCCTATTATGCATATGAATCAGATACCTTAAGATAATTTGCAAAAAAACCCACAAAAAGTCATACCTTGGTTGTGATTTTGCAAACAATAAGTACATCTAATACAACTGATGTCCATGGCTGTTGTGTTTAGATTGCATGTGAAGAGGAGGGCGCATACCTTGTGGAGATTGAGGACAATTTAGAATCAGACTGGATCACGGACCAGTTTCTTAAAAAAGGTAAAAAAAAACTTTTTCGAAAAGAAAATGAACATTGGTCGTGCCTCTTACCCTGAAAGGAATGATGCACTATTTTTATGATACCGGTACTTAATACAGGTTAAATTTTGCAACGTGTTACAATCGCCTTTAAACATTTGGAAACAATTTTGTCGCGCTTTAAATTTGCTTAGTTTTGCTTCATTACATTGACGAGGTGTCTGGTTTTTATAATAAATCGTTAAAAACGCTTGAGCATGTAGTACTGAACATGTTATATTCCGGAACACATACATATTACCAACCAAACTGCCCTTCTCTTTAGATTTTGTCAAATCAATGTTTTAAACAATCAACAAAAAAAAAAATGATGTATTTTCTATGCAAATTATTTGTTACAAGGACGCACACCTATAGATTTTTCCAAAACAAATGCCTTTTACAAAATGTACACATCACATGTATAGGTTACATCATAGAAGCCGAGTAGTATTGATTACATCGTTTTCATGGGGCGTGGAAATCGAGGGCGCGGAGCGCCCGAGATTTCCACGCCCCATGAAAACGATATAACTAATAGTACGAGGCATCTATGACGTAAGCAACTTGTCGCATGTCTAAGGACATAAATTTCACTGAGAGTGTCAAAATTCAATAAAAAAAATATTCAGCGTGTCATGAACTTAAGATTCATTTCAAGCTAGCTCTCCAACATGTCGGACGTTCTTAGTGAATTTGTCTTTGGCTTTTTAGCTGAGTTTGAAGATGTTGACAATTTATCTTTGAGCCACGCACTCTACAAATATGAAATCAAAGAAGCAAATATCACGGAGTTTAACGATATAAAGTTTGGAGATTTTACTGTAACTTTCAAAATTTCAAAATGGATTAATCTTTTGAACGACTGGGAACATTCAGCTGAGTTAAATACATGTATTTTAATTTAGTTAAAGGCTAAGAAATAGCTTATATAATTAATATGTTCATTTTTCTGTAGTTATGAACTTGTGAAATAAAATCAGTTCTTTTCTCATGACCTGATTTCTGCCTCCTGCAGTGATATACGAAGGGGCGTGGAAAGTATTATCGCATATGTGATATGGGATATATCACCACAGAAATATCAAAGAAAATCACCGCAGATATGCGTCAAAAATTAGTTTTCCTTTTTTGCATCAAGATATTTTAGCTAAAAATGATCAATATAAAAATATACATTTTGTGTGTTTTTCTAGTAACTGTTTATAGTTTTTTTTGTCGTTTTCCGACTGTAGTATTGATTTGAATACCATTTTCCTGTTTACTCAAGCGTAGAATTACACACAGGAGAGACTCGAATATGACGTCACAATGGGCCTACAGAGACGTTAGTAAAGATTTAACAACAAAAGGTAGCGACAGATTAAAACAGAGTATATTTTGGTGCTTTTTGACAACCCATGTAAAATGAAAGCATTAGGAATATTTTTAAGCTACAGTGAATTATTGGTGTACGTATGAAACACACCAATAACTCACTCAAAAATGAGAAAAAAATCCTTAAACCCCCAACAGATATACTAATACTGTTAATAGTTTTTTTTTTATCGTTACCATTACTTTTCTTTTCGTATTATAATTCATAAAATTTAAGAGACTGGGTGAATGTAATTAACTTGATTGGAAAAAAAAAAACATATTGACGGGGATTTACTTCTGATTTTTGATATACAGTTACTAAATGGTATCTTTTCCACATAATCGCAGAAATGACCTCTGCCCCTCCTAGCTGAGCCACGGTACATATAATTAACAATACGTATACATATGGACTTTCAAAATATTGTTCCCTTGACAAAATGGTCAATAAGTTTAATTTTTTTTTTTATTGTTTATAGTGTTTTACACGAAATTTCACTGTTCAATAAGTGAAAAACAAGTGTATTAAGCGTTTTGTTTCTGGAAACCATGCCTTGCCAATTTCCAACTTTTTATTTATTTTAATTAACCCACTAGCAATAAGAACTAAAGCGGTGAAAATAAAACGGGCCCACAAATTTCAATTTATACAGTGTCTTATTACATTTTGCAATTAGAGATTCAAATTTTCAATGTTTGTTTCAGAGAAATTTGAATGATATTTTTCTTGTAGATTTATGCTCGTCATACGAATTGAAATGCATGGTTTGGACAGGTGGAACCGATAGTGATAAGGAGGGTGTTTTTAAATGGAGTCATTCCAATAATACATTGTACATTCAACTTCACGAATTGGAACTCAAAGGAACCGAGTATAAGTTCCCCGGACGTTGGAAGCTATGAAGACTGTGTGAGCCTGCTTCCTTCTGGCTATTGGAACGACGCACCCTGTAGTTTGAACTTTGATTTTCTGTGTGAAACGTCTTAACAAAGTTTACATCAAAGTCAGTCGTAGTCGAACTTGATATAATTTAATAATACTTAAAATGAATGATAATTCCATTTTTAATTTAGAACGCTAGTATTAAATCAAACTATAAAAATTAGACTCATAAAATTCATATATAAATGAAATGTTTAAAAATATATATGTTACTTGCAACTGCAAGAAATGAAATACGTGAGTTATTACTTGTTAAAAAAAGTAAAATTAAAAATTTAAATTCGAATCTTTATACCCCATTCATACGACATGATTTGCATACCTCAGTATATTTTACACATAAGTAAATTTACTCACATGTGCAATTTTTGTCGTATGACAAATTCTGCACAGTTGAGTAAATTTACACCTGGTCAGGACTAGGTGCAAATTAACTTTTGCACACACTTTGTAGCAAATTATTAGTTTATGTGTGTAAATATTGTCGTATGAACACGAGCAAATACACTTATGTTTGTATTTTGTTTTGTTTATTGCATAAATCTCCATTTAAAGTATTGTTTCGATTGTGTATGTGCATTTATTACATACTTAGTAATAAATACAGGATTTTTGCATATGCGATATGCCTGACGTCACAATAGCCGTATCAGCCCTGCAGGGCTGATATGGATTTGCAGGGCTGATATGGATCAATATCACACCCTTAGTAAATTAAACCTTAAAAAATTGAACTTGTGATCATACACATATTGGGGTTAAATAATTCTCTTACTTTTAACTTTTTGAATGTAAGGATAATCTAATTGACAAATAATAGATTATTTTCAAATTACTGATCGGGGGCATTTGAAATAGAAGTACAGTCATGTTGAAACAATCCCGAACCGTATGATACAACAGGCCGTGTACATTGTAAGAAGTACGTGCAAGATTATTTACTTATTTTCTTCACAAATTAATGTGCTCTGTATTTTATTAGTAAGTATGTAATAAAAATAATAAAACATACCCTTTTCCATATCACATCCTGTATCAGCCCGAGACACCAATATCAGCCAGAGGGCCTGAGGGCTGATACAGGATGTGATATGGAAAAGGGTATGTATTATTCTCTTGTATTGGGATGTAAAATATAAGTTGGTAAACATGGTGGCCATAAAAGGCAAAAGTGTAAACAAGGAGCCGAAATAAATTTTGGAATTTGCAAAAACGAGGACATCTTGCACCCTTTCTGGCAAACCTATGTTTATATCTTTTAAAGATATAGCTGTGGTAAGTAGTGTCCTTACCACTGTGTATATGAAATTTTCGCCCCCGTTTTATTTTCGTCCCTTTCACCCTACTCACAGGTGGGCGAATTTAGAACGGGGCAAATTCATAGAACATAGTATAATTTCTTACACAAAACTCTGACCGGGCGAATTTAAGACAGGGCAAAATTTATTGCAAACTTGTGCTAAAGGGCAAAATTATCCTGTATATAGTGTTCAAGTTGTCTCCTTGGAAATGCTCCGGAGCTATGAAAGGAACACGCATTCCATTAGTCGCTCGGGCTCCATTACCGTTTAGCTCTTGATTACTTTCTTCTACCTTTCTCTGTTTCTAATACAGACATGCTACTCACATATTATAATTTAATTCACAGGAAATTCAGTAAACTTTTTTAAATAAAGGTATTCGTAAGTATCCTCCTTGGCACCTGATCCCACCATGAATGCATATGGTCGGGGGTTTATGTTAATTTCCTATTCACATATAAAGTGTATTATTCAATGATTTTTTTTAGATCGATCAATGTTAGTTTTCTTTACCCTTTTCATTCTCCTGGAAAATACATAGTAATAATATTCAAGCAGATAATTATTTCATAATGGTCTCGCACACTTGACGTACTGTGGGTTTCCCAACACTAAAAGATTCCAGTCGTCCTATTTCTGCTGAAGACGTCAACCAGTAAATGGCAATTATTATAGTCACCTTTTTCTTTACACCCAAAGGCTCTGCTACAGTCTTTAGGACTAAGGCAAAAAGATTTTCCAACATTAAACATAATTTTTAATAATTTTTTTCCTTTGTGTGTTAAATTTTAGGCCATTCTTTGTCCATAAAGTCATTAAGTTCGTTTTTTTGTGCCAGTTAATCAGAGGATTGGACCCCCCCCCCCCCAGGTTCTTTGAGGAACATTCAAAAGTTAGTCTTATACCCAAACAATCAAGAAATACCCCTTTTCTTAAAAATTCATAATTCTGAATCTATCCATATTTTATATGAAAATATGAGGATTTACTTACAGTACATAAATCTCGTCTGAACGCGTAGCAAATTAACTTTTACTTAGGTGTGTAGATTTACTTATATGTAAATTTGCACACATAAGCAAATTTTCGTCGTATGAATGGGGTATTAGTTGCAATGTAGGAAGCAGTCTAATTATATAAGATAAGATTGAAAATGTCAGTAAGGAAGAAATTCGTGACATTTCTAAGTCAAAGCTAGTATTATAATACTTTTTATAAAACCTTAATTTATGCTTATTAATTTTAATTATTTGACTCAACTAACTTTCAGGAAATTTGCGTGTTCTGAATTACGTCGAAAACATCTAAACTAACATGATACCCAATCATATTTTAAATTCTCTCTTACTTATAAAGCAAAAAAACCATTGCCAGTTATGAAACTGGGGTTTTCTCCCGATTCAAAGACTTCTAAATAGGGAAGATTGATTGATTGCGTATTGTTTTATGTTCCATTTGATTATTTTTACACAGATGTTACAAAATACCGGTGAAGGGCTTTTAACATTTTGACCTTTACACGGCACTCATGGTCACCGAGTAGTGAGGGATCTTTTTTATTCTACCATGACACGGGTTATTAAAATGTTATTAGAAGGATCGACCAAATCAGGATAACACCAAAGTGCCGAATCCATGGCAAAGGAAAAGTGCTTTATATTTTTTATTGACTTAAGACAGTCGCAACCACAGAGGGACCAATGTTATTTACAAATATTCTATCTGCACTATTCGTTTTCCAATGGCTAAATAGTTCATCAGGGAGAATATTCCCCTACTAATAAAAAGTAGATGGCCTTCAATATATCTCTATGAATTGCTTTGAACAAATTAGAAATACAATTTAGCATTGAGGAAATTTAAGAAAAATAACTTTAAAAAGACCATTCATTCAATAAATATGGTTGACAGTGGAAACATGAACGACCTCCAACAATCAGAGAGGTAGGATAATACATGTAATTTTCGGGAAGTATATTGCCTTAAAAAATCCATAAACTACAGAAATCCTGTCATCCATTTGATGATTTAATTTTATATATATCTTTTATCTGGCATTGTAATCTAAACAATTTACCTTTAAACAAAAATGTAGTACTGCACTAGTAGAAACCAAACATGTGTATGCAGTTTTAATGACATTTTTTTAAATAACAAATCACGAATAAAGGAAAAAAATCGTCCTACTCAGTTCTACTTACTCCCATAGCCCCTGTGTATTTTTGCTTTTAATTAGTATTTATATTATCATTCACTTGTCGGAGTATGGGCATCTTTAATAACAAAGGCTTTACAGTTCATCCCGGGGAGTTACATGGAGCTTGAGTATAGACGCCAGTTTATGTAATGAACATAAATATATTGACATTTTCCTGCCATTAGGATAAAAATTTTACTGTGTATAATGTCGCCTACCTTAAAGTAGTACATAAGGTGATGACGAACAGACAAGTTCTACATGATAAACGGTACAGGTAACAACACTATAAGGAAACAGGTAACACACACACGTGGTGATTGGTTTAAGGACTGGATTGGACTGAGGTAGGAAGCTTGCTGGCCAGTATGGGTGGATGACTATGAGATCAGGGTGATAGGTCAAAGGGAATACATTTACATACACAATTTCACTACATTCCTCCCCGTTTTATTTAATAAAGCTAGGGGCAATTACTGTAATTAAATCAGAGGAATGTAAACCAGAAATACATGAATATTATTTAAGTATGACATGGAAAACGTATTAACTAATTCATGTATCCACATGAACTTGGCCGGAATTACATCTAGCACTTTAGTTCTGCAGGATAAACATGTTTGTATGTGGCAAGATTGAATAAAGTACATTGATATACGAATTGTGATAATTCGTATGTAACTTCCACATTAGATCAAATGATTATGTTTATAGACATATGCATTCCATGTTGTATGTTATACATTTCCTATGTTTTAACACTTAATTTATAGCCAAAAGGAATATAACTTACCTATGACCTAACACTGACCTACTTCCATGGGAGTCCTGTAACTGAATAGGTTTCATGACATATGGTTTTAGTCTAGTGAGATTTAGTTGTACAAGCTTAACTTAATTGTGTATACAACTGATTTGCCTAATTAAATCGTGCTGGTGTGCAGTATATGTTAGAACTTTACAACAGATAAATTAACTAAACTGATGTGATGCTTTCTAATAATTAACTTAATATATATTACGATTATCTTCTAATGTAAGTCGTCACCTTAAATATCTGAATACCTAATACTCTATAACTTATACTAACTTAAGCCTAACCTAAACTAAGTAAACTGTATATTTTCTTACTATACCTATCCTGATAACTATATTAACTAAAGAAGGTATGTATCCTTAATTGTCGACTAAATATAGAAGACGCTAGGAAATATAACTATTAAATAACGTATTTACAAAACATATTCCGCATCAGTACCGTCACTTTCTAAAATTAGTTAGCCGTGTATGATACGGAAAATGTACGACATATAACTAACTACATGTATAAACAAATTATGTAAAGCAATCCACCCAATACTGTCACTGAGAAAGGTCAGCCAAGTATATGAACGGAAAGCATAAGGTCATTTACATAAAGCAATCCTGCCCAATACCTTCACTGAGAATGGTCAGCCGGGTATCTGACAGAAAGCATAGGTTGCATGATTACACCAGTCCTGGTTGAAGTGTTCCTAAAGTCCTCAGGAACTGGGTCAAGGACATGCAACAGAATAGATCATTGCATATTAATTATGATTTACATATTGCCTGAATATGCTTCACCCAGATTAGGCTTCGGTGGAACAGTGAAAGG